TATTATAGTACTTTTAACTCAAATTTCAGCACTTGCATGCAATATGTCTGGGTGTGTCTGAATTTTAAAAAACAGCTGTGCATTATGCAGTAAAGCCGCTTGCATCTCAATTCAGACATCTCAAATATTTAATTTGTGGGAGACAAAGCATGCTGATTGTGTATGCACAGCGCATATTTAGTAGACAAACATAAATGGATATATTGGTTTAGAAAGCAATCTCTTTGCTGATGTGATAGTGTCTTTCAGTTACTTTCCTGCAGCATACATGGCGACTTTATGAGAGTGTTTGTTTTGTTTCTTTTTTTTGTTTTGTTTTTTTTTTTTAATTCTTTATTTTATTCAAGAGTACAGTAAAGCAGGCAGGTACAATAGGAAAAACAGCAACATGTCAAAATAAACTGACAATGATACAGATGCAAACCCTATATGTTAAATAAGACTGAAGTCAGGTAACCCAGAAGGTAATCAATGACACAGTCAATCAAGTATCAAAGGCTAACTGTGGTCACTGGGACAGTATTTACACAACTTTTCTACCATTTGCTTTAAGGTTTCAGAACTATTTAACCACTTGATGTGAAGGAAAAAGTCCAGATTGATAGGCAGTCATAAAACACCTTTTGCCAAGTGGGAGAGAAAACAATGATTACCTGGGTCAAGGACGGGTAAGGTGGTAAAGTGGGATGGAGAAAGTAGGGAGAAGAACAATCCCTGAACCAAGTAAATAAATCTGAAGAGCAGTAAAGGGAGAGGTACACTGCGAAAGCAAAAAGAGAGAGGGTAGTAGTGGGGAGATGAGCATAGGGGGATTGTGGGGGTGGGGGGGTCCAGAGGGGTATCCATGAATCCTGTGAGTATGTCAAGAGCATTATAGCAATGCCATTTGTAAGAGTAGATTAACCTAGAGCTAGCTCGTTGAGAAGTTATTCGTTCTAACTCAATGTAGAACACAACTCTTGAATTATAAGTGAAGCTATAGGAACGCTGGACAGCTGCAATCCAGTTAACACATTTTTTAGAAAAAAAGGGAAAAAAAACTGTGCTACACCCCAGACAATTCAATATGTGAATAAATGTGTGAAAAAAATATTCTGAAACAATAAACAGTTAGTGAACTGCTGCTACTCTTTCCCTGAACACCAGAAAATACAAAATATATTTAAAAAAATGAGTACGCTGTAAACTAAATAATCATAAACAATAATCAAGTAAATGCTGCTACATACAAAATGTGCATAAATCAATTGAAATGATATAAGTCCACATTCATATATTAAATAATTAAAAGTTGCAAAATCCAATAACACAGTGCTGTGTGCTAAAGAAATCCTCCAATGGAAAGTGCATAGGTGTCCACAAATGCTTGACACAAAATAAAAAAATCAGCCTCTTACCAGACAAATGATCTCCAATCGAGAGATCAAACGAGCAGATAGTGTTCAGATCCCACACTGACACCCTAGTTAGTCGTATCAAAGAGATGAATAGGAGATGAATGGGCAACTGCAGGTTCACTTGAACGAATCCATCACATCAAACAGCTCTCCACATCATGCAAAACAGAAGAAGAAAACTTCATAGTGCGACCCGATAAACCAGCAAAGAATTTATTAAAGTATTGCACTTACATAGATAAAGTGCATAAAGGCAGTGTAAACATTTAAAATTCCCACGGTGTCATACCACCAGCCGTTACGAGGTTACGTCACAGAAAGCTCCGCAGAGTTATAGCCCTCCCCTAAATGAGCAAAAATGTCCTCAGTTCTACTTTGAAGTGTTTCTAAAGCCAAAACTTTTATTTGTTTTCTTGTAGAGTGGTGAGGGAGATAGAACCCCTGTCAGGTTATCACTGCTGGCGTCCCTGCTAGGGGACATATTCAGGTTGAGAATATTTTAATAATCCCAAGAGAATTTACTAGAACAGCAACAGAGAGGATAAAGTTCCAATACGGACATATGTTCTGGTGCCAACTGTATAAGGCGGCATTTCCCCAAAGTCTGGAAAAATTTGCTCTCACTGGACAGGACGTGAAGGGGAAATTTTCCCAGTGGGACACAGATGTGTTAAAGATACAGTATGTGTAAAAAAAAATATCCAAAACAAAAAAATTTAGGTATAATTTAACATCTTCAATGCATTTTTAACATGTTCATGCTAGTAGATAATTGTACGTTAGTTAACAAAAGGTATTCTTGCAAAAGTTGAGATCTGTTTCACATTTAGCTAGTATAATGTATGGCCTTTTCTGCCACATCAGCAGTAAGAGATAGGTAGTGAGGCATTGGATCTCTTTAGAGTGACACTAAACAACAACCTTATTCTCCAAAATAATCCATACATATCCGCTTCTTAATGGCTCTGTAATCTATCTTTTTTTAAATTGTTTTTTACTGCGTTTTTCTGCCTCCTTTTATTGTCCTCCATGAGTTCCCGAACCTCTACTTTTCCTCCTTCATTTGTGTTTGGATTGAGCAGTGCACAATAATTATGGTCATTTGCATGGCTCTATGCACACTACAAATCCCATAGTCCGTATTCCCTAGTCCGTCTCGGAATAGAGCAAGCGAGGGTGGCTGCATTTCTACATATAGTGGGACCGTGGAGAAAAAACATAGCCATCCCCTTACAGGAAGTCAGATCATGGCAGCAAAAGAAAGGAATTTGGAGGATTCTAAGAGCAGCAGAATGTACTTTTTTGAGTTAAAGGTTCTTTTAAGATTCTTTTGGCCATACTTCTCCTGTGGGTCAGAGGAGTGTGCACTTAGTTATGCACTCTTGTGACCCAGATTCAGCCGGCAGTGGACTAACAGATGTCACAGAGCTGGTTCACGCTCTGCAGGGATCCCGACTTTAATGTCGGGATCTGCCCATATGACTGACCGCAGCTTAATCAGCCTCTCAGCACACCAATGGGATCCCGATCCAGCCGCTTCTACCCGTCCACAGTTTGGCACTCCAGTAAGCGCTGGAGGGACAGAGCGGTGACTGACAGTCACTGCTTTTGCTCAGAGCTGACCTGAGAACTGAGCAATCAGCTGTCTTTGATTTCTGAGCTCTCAGTATAGAGCTGGTGGGGGGCAACTGCACCTCGGATTGGTACTGTAGCCATTTTTTTGTTTTTTTTAAGATCCTGCACTTCTCTTTTAAAATCAGTTGTGTATATTCCTTTACTATGGGAATTATTCTTCTCAGGCTGCTCTCCAAGGAGTGGCAACTGAAAATGGACTTTTTTCTTGAGTAGAGACGTGGTGTGCAAGGAGACGGGGAGCAATCCTACTAATTACCTCTCTGGATCCCTCAAATTTTATCAGTCTAGCAAATACTTTGTTCAACAGTATCAAGATGAAGGGGGACCCTTTGAACCCTCAAAACACATTTGAAGGTATTCAGTGAAGCACTACCGACAGTTTTCTGGCACTAAGGCCCTTTAAAATGGCCTGTGCCAAACGTATTCATCTTTACCAACACATGCTGCAGATTCACATAGTTGTTATTAGTGCCACCTTTACCAAGTGGTGCTATTAAAGTGTTACTAAACCCAGGACCCCTCATTCACTATATCTGGTCTCCCACAGTACACGCTACATGGAAATGCAATTATTGTAGTAAATATAAACTGCTAAATACATTTTCTCATCAGCAGTGACTTCTATCAGTGTCCAGCTAAGTACTGGTTAAACCTTGTAGGAGGAGTTTTCACTCTGCTCTGATTGTCCCATGAGGCTGCATAATCCCTGACCCTCTGTCTGGACAGCGCTGATTGGTCCTGTGCTGATCACATGCACTCTACCAAAGAAAAAAAAACTCTCTAGCAATACACACCAAACTGAGCACGTACAGAGTGTTTCTTAGAGCTCTGTACTATCAGCAGATGGATTGGGAACAGTAGAAGGGGAAGAGCAGAGAAGACAGGATCAAACAGCTTTTTTACACAATGCGGAGGATTAACCCCTTTAGGTTCCACAGTGAGTATAACAAGCATGCTTTACTGTATATACAGACTAATTTTACTATTGTGGGTTTAGTAACACCTTAATGCACCAAATTCAAAAATGATTACCGCCAGTTTATAGATAACAAAAACTGGAGGTAATTAAGACTCACTCTAACTTGATATATAGAGACAGGCAGGAATCTGATGCTCATACCTCAGTACTCTGTGCAATTACCCTTAAGCTTGATGTACAGAGCAAGCATTTTCAGATCACTTTCCATAGCATGTATACAACAAATTACCGAAAATCAGTATCTGATTGGACTGTAATTGCTTAGCAAAGCCTAGTGCTCATGATGAGAAAATTGGATGAAAAATTCCGCTTTCAAATCGATTGTCTGATAAGCTGATCATTAGTACACAGCTTTCGAGAGCCAATCACAACAGTATTCGTCCGCAATCAAGTGACAAAGATTGCGCATGCTCGGAACAATCATTCTTTTGATATTCTCATTTTAAGGGTGCCCACACATAGGATGGTCATATCATGTGATGCAGTCAACAATGAAACCACTATCTGGCTGTTTATGAATAAACAACATTTGGTATTACTTCCAGTGCTTGTTATGACAAAGTAAAGTTTTTTACAAAATGTTGGACCAAGCAGTGAAGAAAAGGGGGCATTTCTGATTGAGTATGCCACTGCTATTCATTTGTAGATCGTAGCAGGTCTCTGTAATCCCATGGAAGGATGGAGTATAGGCATACATTGTCTATTGCTGTCTGTGAAATGTCTAAACATATGTGGCCAATCTAATCTTTTTCTCTTTCTACTGTCTCATTAAACAAGGCCATTATAGTCACACTGCAAAATGTAAAATAATAATTTGACAGCATGATGGTAACTCTATGTGTTTATTCTTTTCTTGTGCAGGTTAGATAATGGAATGAGCAAGTTGATCCCATAACATGGGCATTTTGTAGCTAACATCTCACATGCACATTGAATAAACCTTCCACTAGAAGGCCTCACAAAAGAGCCATATGAAGGAATTCTAAGCAATGGACCACAAGATCAACTGCCCCAATGTATGCATTCCTAGCTCTGATGAGCACCGAGAAAAGAAGAAGAGATATACTGTAAGTACATTTTTTTTCTTTTCCAATATTGTTTTTGTTGGTTATATTTCAAAAAAAGGTACAAATGTTTGCTAGATTGCTCAGTACAAGGACAAAGTTTTTTCAGTACTGTTAAGAACAACCAAAGAAACAGAGATTGGAAATTATATTTGTAATGTTTCCAAAGGTTCACAATAAAGTAATATCACTAAAAAGACTCCAGGGTATCCCCTGATTTACAGTAGACTGTTGTATTACCAGCATTAGCGTTGCCTGAGTAGTATACCCTCGTCTGGAAAAATAAGGAACACCAATTGTAAAGACACAGTCCTGCAAGGGACTTTTTTTTTTTTTTTTTTTTAAGTAACCTGTTTTCTCATCACCTCAAAGTTCAACTTCAGGCTCATTGTTTCCCACACAAGTGACCCCCTCCCCCCCATCCTCCCGAGGGCCCCCAGTGTGTAGGCTATGCTTTCATTTTAATATACTTATCTTGTTTCGGTGTTTTCTGGTCAGGTGATATGCTGGGTCCTCCTCTTACCTCAAATTCATTTCCAATAATTTTTTATGGCAAAATTTAGACGATGCATACAAAACAATTACATATGGTTGAAAAAGCTTTATCAAGCATAATCAGCCAACAATACATTCAAAATAGTAAAAGACATATAAAGGGACATTGCTTTTACACCCCCTTAATAGTAACATTTCCTCGACTTGTCATATCATTTCCTAAATAGCTAATCTGGGGGAACAAAACATCACATCCAAGAAGGATAGGAATTCTAAGGAAGGAAGAAAAAGTATGTAGAGTATTCTGTGCAATGGAAAAGCTTGATATCAAGGATCCAGGAATGCTTTCGGACTCTAGGTGTTCCCTGAAAAGTAATCCAGGGTTCCCAAATCTTTTCAAACTGGGGGGGGGGGTGATAGTTTCTCATTGTCTAGGAGAGTTTGGTCTTAATCATATCAAATGATATTGTGGGAGATTGCCATGACCTAGCTATCACAATGCGAGCTGCTAAGAACACAAAAGAAATAAGCCTTCTTACATGCCATTGAGCTTTTAAAATGGGTCGGCCTAATAGAGTCTGTCATGGACTTTTTTAAGATGTGTGTCTGTCAGAGAATATAGGAAATTAGTAGACACGGATCCAGAATCGGTGAATTTTTGGGCATTCCCACCTAATATGTTAGAACAAGTCTTTTTTGGGCGCAACCTCTAAAGCAGCATCTTGAGGCTCCTGGGACGACACAAGAGGCCAATCTCGTTGGGACCATGTACCAAGTAAAAGCATATCCCGATAGTTTATGCCAATCCTCCAGATCTAATTCCACATTTAGGTCATGTTCCCATTTTAACATATATTTTTGTTTAGAGGTTTGCATGGAATAAATTGTTGGTATGAAACCAGATCATGCGTTAAACAAAGGTAGTCTGACTAGAAATATCACCTTGACGTTGTAAGGACTTTATAAAATGAAGTAACTGTGTAGTGGTATACTTCTGTGTCTGGGAGATGGCGCTTCTCTTGCAATAACTGAAGCAAAAGAACCTGCCAACCCCCTATACAAAAATCAGCAATGCATTGAAATCCCTTATTCATCCACCATTTTAAGGATGCAGCGGTGAGACCGGGGGTGAATAAGGGCTTAGACAATATTAGAACAAGGGGGCTATGAGCTGGCTGGAGATGAAATGCATTAAACTGGTCCTATAAACTCAATGAAACAGATTAGGGCACAGGCAGGCAGTCTTTGTTCGACGGTAGCCAAATCAGATGGCTGGGAGACCGGTGGATCATGGCCATGCATTCTATGGACATCCTAGGCATCAGTGTTTTGCAAGTATGAAAGCGAGCCAATTGGACAGCTTGAAAATATTACCGGAGGGACCCCCAAGCCGCCTCTTCATTTGGAAGTGAAATTTCCCTCAATTTGTTCAGTGGGTGTTGCTCAGAGATGCAAAAAGCAGCATAGATACATAAAGAATACAGGGCTTTGTGGTGGCACTCTTTCAGGGAATGGGACCATGACACCCTGCATTTACAATAATGTCCCCAGTCTTTCAGGTCCAGTGATGCTGGGTATCAATCAACCCCAAAGACTTGAGGACATCTTGTGACAGATCAAAAGAAAGGAATGAAGTGTATCCGGGTGCCAGATAACTTCCAAAAGTGGTGCCACGTCCTAATTATATTAGTCAAAAATTGGAGGGAAAGAAACGGCGAAAAGGTTGCAAATGGACTTTAAAGGCACAGAAATTCCAAACACATATTAGTAAAACTATTTGTACTTTATTATGACAATAAGTCATGAAAAAAAACATCTTGCAGTTTAAAATGTTACACTATCCCCGCAGACAATGTCGCACAGCCCACTGTGTACAAGGAACACATTAATGATTAAGGATGTAAAACCACCAAATGGATCCTCTAAGGGGGGTTGAGAGGCATTAAGTCGCAGGAAAATTTTCCAACAGGTTTTGCGACAATGATCGCTTCTTCGGGGGCTTAGTAGTAAAATCTAATAGAAATATACATAAATTAGATATATCAAATTACAACATGTGAATACAAGAAAAAAAAAGCAAATTCATACATTAACATAATATGACTTACATATGATATCAATATGCACCATGCAGCAACAACACTCACCATGTATTTGGGAGTAGGCCTCCTCTGTATTTCCACAAGGCAAGGGGCCAATCAGAAAGCCAGATATGGGGGTGCAAAAAAATGGCTGTCAGTCCAAAACCCCAATGGTTTAAAATCCACCAGTAGAAAAAAGAGAGACACAAATAGTATATACTAGAATTCAACCCAAAGGAATCGCAATAGCACATGTCTATAGATATGGGAAGACTGAATATTATCCTAAATCCTAATAGTGGTGCTTTATTCAAGTTTTGTGTGATTACTTTAGAAAAGTTTTCTTGATTTTATAAGCAACAAATGTAATAGAGAGGGATTCAAATATTTAAGAGCTTATTTTTTGGACAAACGCTATTTATATAGCATTAGAGTATCCCAAGTTTGGGGACATATAGTAGCCCATTGTATAATGACATCAGCCATAATGAAATACCGACTGTGAGAAATGGCTCTTTGCAATAGTGTGACAAGATAATACACTTGGGCCAGCCCAGCAAACACTTAAAGGGAACCAAAAAAGTAGGCCCAGACTTTCAATGGAAGGCAGGTCTAAAATTGTAAATATAAATAAAGAAGTTTTATCTTATACGTCACTCAGAATAATTCATTCAACAATTGTATCTTACCAATAATAGAGTTAGAACCACCTGCGCTACCCCATTGATTAAAGGCCTAGGGATGGGTTGCTGATAACACCTAGCTATACACCTGGATAGAATACTGATCAAAATAGAACAAATTGGTGCTGCGCTCCACACTTATATAAAATATTAAATCAAAGTGAAGTTGATAATATTCATGAATCCTCCTGTGTATAATGAGACAAAATCAATCCTTCATAATACTATACACTCATATACAATGATATATCTACTATAATAAATGAACAGAACCATAGAAAAAAATAAAAGTGAAAAACATACATAAACCCATTGTGTCCCTAAACAGGGTGAAATAAGAAATATCACTATACCACACGTGATAAAACACTTGACATGAAATGAATGCCCAAAAGTGTATGATTTAACTTAGAAATGGCACCATTGTTTATGAACACAATGGGGGTCAGGATTTAACCTGACTAAAAGTGCACAAGGACTTTTCCACATAAATGTGCGACTAACACTTGACAAGTGCCCACATAAAACGGTTATATTTTTATATACCATGCGCTAGTCCCCAAACTGGGACTTGCTATATAAATAGCTGAAAAATAAGTGAATGCATAAAAATCAAGTGACATTCTAAAGTAAACACATAACTTGAATAAATATGCAAAAAAGTCCACAAAAAAAGTGCCTCCAATTGTAAATAAACAACAATCGTTCACGTGTGTAATTTCAGTATAGCTGGATTTATAGAACATCCAGCAATAAACACAAATATTGCAGGTGGAAAAAGGTGGGATCCTTCACCGGTAAGATTGCCCCCTCACCTTCATGAAGCGACCCCACGGGGTCAAAAAGCTTTCATGCTATTTGGCGCAGCCAACCGCTAATCCTCCACGTCAGATTCGGTATCACAAATAGTGGTGGTATCCCCTTCAAAACTTACAGGTATCACCGATCCTGATATCTGTGGTTTTCATATGATTACTTACAACTCAGCTTCCTCATCCATGTTTATAAAACAAGAAGAAGAATCCTTCCATCGTGTGATATTATTTCATTTATTGATATATTATACAATAAATGTACTCACATGTATGGAGTAAAAAACATGCTCACAAATCCTCATATGAACTCCTGGGTGTACTCCTATGGGTGTATCAAAATGGCGCTTACGCTGGAAGTGCCGTCACCATGTCTCTGTCTCTTGTCCAATGCGTTGCATCACGTACCACGTGACTTCAGAACCTGATGAAGTCACGTGGTACATGACGCAACGCGTCGGTCAAGAGACGGAGACGTGGTGACATCACTTCCGGCGCAAGCGCAATTTTGATACACCCGTAGGAGTATACCAGGAGTTCCTATGAGGAATCTCCTAGATTGTAAGCTCCAAGGAGCAGGGCCCTCGAACCCCTCGTGTATCGCATTGTATTGTTACTGTACTGTCTCCTACTATAATGTACAGCGCTGAGCCTATTGGCACTATGTAAATACTGTATAATAATAATGAGGATTTGTGAGCATGCGTTTTTCTTCTTGTTTTATAAACACCAATGAGGAAGCTGAGTTGTATTAGATCATATGAAAACCACCCGGATATCAGGATCGGTGATACCTGTAAGTTCTGAAGGGGGATACCACCACTAGTGAGTCCCAAGTTTGGGGACTAGAGCACAGTATATAAACTTATATATACACAACCGTTTTATGTGGGCACTTGTCACGTGTTAGTCGCACATTTATGTGAAGGTTTTTTTTATAGTCCTTGTGCATTGTCTTTTAGTCAGGTTAATTTATCCTGACCATCCCATTGTTTGTTCATATAGGTACAATAGTGCCATTTCTCAGTTATTTCTTCACTACACCTTTTGGGCATTCATTTCATGCCAAGTGTTTTATCCCGGTGGTATAGTGATATTTCTTATTTCACCCTGTTTAGGGACACAAGTGGGTTTATGTATTGTGTTTTTTGTGTGTTTTTCACTTTTATTTTTTTCTATGGTTCTGTTCAGGATATATCAATATGAGTGTATAGTATTATGAAAGGATTGATTTTGTGTCATTATACACAAGAAGATTCTAAGGGGAATATTATCAACTTCACTTTGGTTTAATATTTTATATAACCAGCACCATTTTGTTTTTTATTTTTACCAATAATAGAGATATTTTTATTGGTGCTTGGTTGATGGAACCAACGTACTTGTCCAGCAAAGAAACGGCCACGACTCAGAACAGGACAAAAGTATTTCGCACACAAGGTTCATATATCGAATAACCTGCAGGGCTTAACAGCCCTGAAAGAATGGCACTGGGAGGCTGTGAACCGAGGCCTGATATAGCACCCAGGGGCGGCAGTCCGCTCATGACTCGTGACATTACAGCGTCCGGCCATCGGTGATGACGCCTGCGTACCGCTGCCACACATGCACCATATGGTGCAGTGGGCTCGGTCCACATAGGCACACAGGGAGGGACAAGAAGTCCCTACCAGGCCACGGTAGTCCAGCCCCTATCAAGGGGGTCACAAGGGACACCGCGGGCACCCAGCCGCACATCGGGCTCAAACAACCGGCCCGTCAACCCGGTAGAAAAGCAGGGGAGCAATAATAATAATAATCTTGTGACAGATGATTAAAATATCTGAAATCCAATGAATGAAAGGGGCAGGCCAGAGACAGGAAGGCCAGTGAAGAAAGAGCTAAATGATGCTGGATGCCCTCCAACCAGTAAATGAGTTGGGCTCTGTCTGACTTTCTGCAGGTTCTAATGTATGCTAGGGCTCATGTATACTATTTGCTCTACTGCACCTAAATGTGATTTTGGGAGCTTATGGCATTTTTTTTTTTTTTTTTTTTGCCAAAGCCCCTGAAATAAACTCAATTAAAGCTCAATAAAAGCCTATGTGTCCATGTACACATAGTCTTTTACCAGAGTTTAGGAGCAGCAGAGTTTAGGGGCAATTAAATATTCCTCTTCTCAATGCAGAAGTATCACACTCAGGAGAGAAAACTTTTTGGCCAAAAAATGCATGTAAAGGCTCCTAAAAGGTAGCCGCCTTTAGTGCTTGGGCATTTATTCATGTCAATGGAAAATACTCTAGCCAATCAAATGAACAAATACTAAAATGCTAAATGCAGTATCGCGTTTACATGCATTTATGCTGCGTTTAGCATTTTTCTGCTGGCAGGAGAGCTAAAAAGTCTAGGGGAGTTCATGTGTACATGTAGCCTAAGGCTGGAGTTCTGCTTTAAGCACGGATTGTATGTGTCTGGTTTCTCACCTATAAATGAGGCAATGTTTGCTCGTCAACTGATCACAAATGGCACAGCTATGTTGCTATCATTTACATACTAGAAGAATTGTTACAAAGTGGTGTCTGTCTTGACCTGTTCATAAACTGCTGTAGATATATAACCACTGATGTTATTTGTGAATGGACTAAATGAATGTTTTGTCTTGACAGGTTTACAAAGTAATAGTTTCCATAGGTCGGAATGAATGGTTTGTGTTTAGGAGATATGCAGAATTTGATAAGCTATATAACACGGTAAGCTGATATTTCCTCCTTTGAGATTTACTTGTAGATATCATAATTTTGGGAATTACACCTATTAAATATGAGCATTGGTTTGGACTTTAGGTTCATACCTGTGTTCTGTGGTAATGTGGTAATGTTTTTTCCACTTGTTGTTGCATTAGGGCAGCCCATTTATTTGAAGGGGCAGCAAATTGCATCAAAATGCATATACTGTACCTCTTCTTCTTTTTTTTTTTTTTTTTTTAACACAGAACAAGCCATAACACATGCGTAATAAGTTACCATGCATTGCATGAGAGTTGGCAAGGTGCATTGGAATACCATTAAAAAATGCATTTTGATGACCTGCAGGAGGCTGCAGTGCAGAGATGTTAATAAACCTCAAATCTGTGTTGCTACCATATGCCCCAATTTAGGTATCCCAGACCCAGCCATTCATTGTTCTGGAAATGGCTGAATTGGGTGAGGATCTCATGTATGTGGGTGCCACTGTTGAGGGAAAGCAGTCTATACTCTGCTTGTCTCTCTAGTACTTGCCCATTTCAAATGATTTCTGCACTGTAATTGTAAACATTTGCCTAAATCCTGTGACTGTTCTGATATTGTCTATTATTCCGTTAGCTTAGGAAACAGTTTCCAGCTATCAACCTGAAAATTCCTGCAAAGAGGATTTTCGGGGACAATTTTGATCCAGGTAAAGCAAATTATCTTTGGTATTCATTGTTGTCAGAGTGAAAGATTCACCCATTGCTTAAGCTGGCCATTAAGATTCTTTCCCTTAAACTACAGGCTGAATGGAAAAAAAATCAAGCAAATTCTTCCATCCAGGATGCACAGCACAGATGGACAAATCTCCCGTTGTGGCTATAGTATGTTGACAGCTGACTGCACTGGCTGTGAAAATACTGGAACAATGCTGTCACTGGATGCAGCCAGTTCCGCTAGCAATTTTCTGCCCTATCAAAGAGTTTCAAGTAGAAGGCAGCTGACAGGGCCACCCAGTGAGCACATTTCAGCATCAGTTCATCAGAAAAATTCTAACAATGTATGGCCACATTAAAGAAGAATTCCAGGAATTTTTTCCCTTAGCCATGGGGCTCCGCCTACACTGCATGGGTTTTTGTCTAGGGGTGTGGAGAGTGAAGATATACATACCTAATCTGCCGATCCTCCCAGCACAAGATTGGTTCCTGCAAGATCATTCCCTGCCACTCCTGCACCCCTCCCATAGTCTAGCGGTCTAGTGCGGTGGACTGTTCCTGGTGTAGTCAAGCCCATAGACCGGCTCTGGATATGAGGACAGCAGGAACAGTTCACCACTGAACGTGGGGGGAGCATCTTTTTCTGGAGGATCTAAGGATGAGATGAGTATAGCCTTCTGCGAGTCTCCTTGGGACAAAACGAGCAGTTAACCCATGCAGTGGGGCTGTTTACTGGAGTTCGGTTTTAAGTCAGCATTCACACCTTTTTGGTTTGAAAAGAACTATCCTTTTAAAGGATAAGCTCACCTTTTGGACAAAAATAATAAACGCACATTTTTTTGCAGGTAAAAAAATGTTCATTTATTATTTTTGTCCAAAGGAGCCTGTAAAGCATTGCAGCAGCAATCAGTAGATCACTGATGCCATGCTGGTCTCCTGCAGACCTGTCAGAATATCTGCTGGCCGTACGGGATTTATGAGAAAGCAGATATACTGACAGGAAGCTTCAATAAACTACCACGACACTCCACAGCACTGTGGTAGTTGATTGAAAACTACAAGCCTACAGCCGCTAAGGCTGCCGGGACTAGTAGGCACTCATTCACAGAACACTGTGAATGAGTGATGCGGCCGTGTGGGCGGAGCCCCGCATGGCTGCGCTGTTTTCAAATCTGACAGATAGTACGGGAGAAGTTTCCCCATATTATCTGTCAGAGGGAGGAGGGGGGGTGGCAGGCACGGCTTCGGCTATGGGAACATGTTACAACAGATGATAAGGAGGATGTCAGCTGAGGATTTCCCCTTGTGTTAGAGACATATGCTTTCACTTCCTATTGTGTCTTGAGGACAGGAAGTGAAGAGAATGAGTCAGATACAGATGGAAAAAAACAAAAAAAACTTAGCAAGGTTTTTAACCATTACCTATTCAGATGTAAAAAAAAAATATATCTATATGTTAAATAAAATGGAGTATAGAATCTAATTTTTAAATTTAGATAATATGCATATCAAAGACTCAGATAACACAACAGCAGACAGGATATAAAGGACAGAGATGGGCTTTTATTTCTTTACAGAATATTATTGAAGCACCCATATTGCTCCTTTTAGTCAGATTGACTGTATAAAGAAATAATATGTCAATGCCATTGATATACAGAAATTGCTGGAAAGATAGCTGTCTGTGTTGCCCATCAACATCCTACATGTTTCTAAACTGCCCTATAATGACAGCTGAGTTCTCATTGGTTGTTGTCAGCAACACATACCTCCTTTCCACTAGATTTTAGTCCCTGTCCTGCTAGTGATGTAAAGTGAACCTGTCAATTTCTTGTGTAATCTGACCTGGATTGCTTTGGTTCTGCAGTGATTTTTTTCTCTCTATCCCAGAGTTTATTCAGCAGCGGAGAGCAGGTCTGAATGAATTTATTCAGAATTTACTCCGACATCAAGAATTATGCAGCCAGTAAGTACCGTATCTTTCATTTCCCTTCTTTTGTCACATTTAGTATTGAGTACATTATACGAAGCAGAAAGGTTTCTCCAGTGTTCTTGAGTTAGGCAGTTTAATGTATAATGTCAGGATAAGAAGCCGGTACACAGAAGAAGGCTGTAAGTTCTCTTGTAGTGTATGATTAGTACAGTGGAAAAATGTGAACTATGTACAAGAACCTGTAAGATCATGTACAACAAGCCAGCTTCAGTCCTGAGTAACCCTTGCACAGACAACTCATGACTATGTAAAGTGATACTGAACACACACTTTGATTTACATTGTCCCTCCTATTTCTGTATATGGATAATGGCACTGTAATTATTTTATTAATAAACAAATCTAAGTACATTTTCTCAATCAATATACAGCTGTCACATGACCCAGCTCTTTCCCAGCCTGTCTGCAGGGAAACATAAGCAGAAGGATTCTCTAGTCCTCTGCTGCTGGTCACATGTTCAAAATAATGCTGCGTAAAAATAAATATATTATGAATAAACTGTTTTAAATTGGCATAAAAATATGTTTGAAATAAAGTCTTTATTATTTTGTGGAAATAACATGGTGTAGGTGGATTTCTGCCAGTCAGAGGCAGTGTCACGCACCTCCAGTCTGTGTCTTCGAATAGGAGGGAGGTGAAGCCACCATTAAGCTTCATGTAATATCCCCCCCTCCCCCCATTGTGTTTAGCTGGATAGTGGGCATGGGGAAGGAGGGAGGGATTGGGCTGTCATTGTGTCACTGTGTATACGCCCACATGTGTGACTCTAGTGTCACATGGGCTGCTCAGATGTGATAGGGAGGAAATGCTCAGCATAGAAACTGACTGCAAACTGAGCATGTGAAGCAATGCCAGCACAGCTGCAAAATCCCTAGCCGAATTGGGGAAAATAATAAGAGGTGGAGATAGAGAGCAGCAGGATCAACTAGGTTTTTTGCAGAACAGTGATGTCACTTTGGGAGTGCGGACTGCACCTGGGTGACACCCGGCAGAGGGGTGACACCAAGGTCGGTGCTACCATAAGCACGTGCTTCCCGCCATTGGTGCCTCAGAGGAGGTAGGAGCCCTGGCACTTTTTATCCCTTATCTGAGGTACTGGTGGCGGAAGTGGCTGGTGCTGTATCTCTGCTCTGCCTCCCTCTGTATTTTCCAAGGGCAGATGCCTGAGACCATCACTAGGAGAACCAACTTACTCAGGAGTCGGGCTGTAAGTGCTCCTGTCGCTATTCTTCTCCCGGCCCCTCCCTCACTCCACTACCTGTCCAATCCCACATTCCACCTCCCATATGTGTCCGCCCACACTCCAACCCCCTGCATGCAATACCTGCAGAGTGCTGTGAAAGGGGTTCTGTGAGCAGCTGGGTGTGAGATATCAAACAATGGCTGCTATAGCTGCCTAAAGGGGAACAAGCCTGAGTGGGGGAAGGCATAATTGATGAGCGAGCCTTTTGCACACAAAAATAACTCCCCTCTCTTCTCCCACCACCTTGTGCTCTGCCCCTTCTACCCCCCTCCCTCCTAAAGTTTGCATCTGGATGTTGTTTACATGTTCTTCTGATATTTTTGATGGTTTCTCTGGGGAAGTCAATCAACTACAATAACCCAGCTATGATGTCAGGTTAATCATCTTCCAGGACAGATGACACTTGCTTGTATGTACATGTACCTAGATGACTATGAAGAATATGTTGGATCATTTCTTCCTTTGCAGCAGAGATTAAGGAGGAGCTTCAGTCATTTTTGTGTTTATTAAAAGTCATCAGCTACAAAAGCTATAGCTGCTGATTTTAAATAAACAGACACTCACATGTCCAAGGATCCAGCGATGTGCTCACCCGAGCCACTCCTTCCCTCGGTTCTCTGTTTCCGGTGCCGGCATCTCAACGTTGGGCACCTGCCTGTGACGGCTTGTGGCTTCACAGCCGGGTGCACACTACGCATGTGCAAGCTGTGCTGCTCATTGTGAATGGTTCCAGCAGTTCTGGGACCTGTGACTGCACGAAGGGAGGGAATGGCGAGGAAAACTTCCTTTCGGATCACCAGTATCCACTCCCCCCCACCACCCCCAAAAAAAAGTGCCATTTGGGTGGAGCTCTACTTAAATGTAAATGGTTGTTTTTTTCTGTAGTCCAGTGTTTCTCAACCTTATTTCAGTCAAGGTGTCCTTTACAATTATGGCAGTCCTAAGGCACCCTTTAAAATTATGGGCAGTCTTGAGGCATCTTATTCTAAAATAGGGTGCCTCAAGACTGTCCATACATTTAAAAGGGAACCCCATTCTTAAATTTGAAAAACTATTCTAATAGTTTTATATATAATGCAGCAACATCCACACATGTAGGACTCCCAAAATTAGAGGTCATTTATTCTTCCAAAGCAAATACACTTTTGCACACTGCTACTGACTAGTATTCCAGTGTTTCTCTTCTCCCTCTGTTTTTATCCATCACTGAGCTAATATGACCCCAGCACTGATGGAGAGGGGCAGGGGAGGGTCAAACTAGGATGCTGTGCAGGCAGCTGACATCCCCCTTATCAACTGATGATGTCATTGGTTGTCAGGACGCCGGTAGAAGGTCGTAGTGGTGCACAATGAATACCTGTGGCTTTGTGTAACTAAAATGTAGGCTTGTATCACCTGCTGGCTTGTATCATTTTGCCAAGGCACCCCTGAAGAAATCTCAAGGCACACCAGGATGCCCTGGCATCCTGGTAGAGAAAGGCTGCTGTAGGCCACTGCAGAACAGATTGGTTCAATATAATGATTAAAGTGGTAGTAAACCCAATAATTAAAAAAAAAAAAACCTTTTGCCCTGCAAGGAAATGTCATACTGTGCTAGTATGCATCGCATACTAGCACATTATATAAGACTTGCCTTAAAACAAAGCCCTCCAGCAGCGTACTGTCACCGCTCACAGGGCTTCCATCTTCACCCAGTCCTTCGTCCAGGTTCGTGGGCTCTGGCGGCTTGAATGGATGTTTACAGTACCTACAGGTAAGCCTTATTATAGACTTACCTGTAGGTATATGTACAAAAAACAGACTTTACTACCACTCTAAATAAAAAATCTAGATAAGTGTAGTATGAGGTCCAGACACAAATGTGTATCTTGATTATTGCTGCTTTATACAAAATGGAGTGTTGTGACAGGTACACGTCCAGTACATAACATACAGAAGGTATCCTGTTGCTCTTTCTACATTTCATTTTCTGATTATTTATAGGGAATAAACACAAGATAAATCTGATGTAAGGATTGCAGTAACTCATTACACATAACCTCCAATCCGAAATTGCCTATTTGCAGATCTATCTACAGTAATTTAAAGCTCACCACACACATTACAATGTAATTGTACAATTTCTCTTAGATCTACCAACAACTACTGTATGTAGTGCAAGGACCTGCTTGATTGGATACAGATTGACTGGATAATTTAGCTAGGTCCCCCGTATTACATTGATTTGGTAAATCTAAAGTTGTTTGTACAAAAATATAGTCAAATTATAATGTGTATAGTTGTGCTTAGATCTGGTGAACTGCTATAAGATAATGTACCTTCCACATTATTCCATGTAATTGTTCCTTGTTCTTCACTGGATATATTAAATAGTTGTAGCAGTATCCTAATCCTGTGTGTGGGGAGCTGTGGAGGAGCAGTCTAAAATTCTTTTCATAAGACCTTAATCCTGACAGCCCTCTGCTAATCAGACACGCACGGACATGTGTTACGGTGAAGTCAGTTCTGCTTTCTTGAAATAGATGGTTTGGCATGACATCATTTCCAAAAAAACAAGAGGTTATCCCATATTAAGGGCAGTGGGCAGAGACAGGCAAATAATTCCTTTATATCCTAGTGACCAGCTGCACATCTGGAACTGTGGATGCATATAATACAATCCGAAGTTCTAGCCCTTGTGCGGTCCAGAGGGAACTCCTCTGTTAGTTTATTCATCATCAGTGCCTTCTTAAAGCAGTATTAAACCCAAGAACAAACATTTATAATATTGCAGCTTACCAATTCTTAGATGCTATGGCTGCATTCGTTTTCTGCAGACCAGAACTGCGCTGGATTGCGTTTGGACTCGGGAAAGTGTTTTTAAGGGGGGGTGGGGGGAAGCAACTTTTGAAAGGTTTTTTTCTAATACAGAGAATGTGTTAAAGTAAGAAAAACAGTGTGCCTTTATATAATCTTTAAGTCTGCTAGTATATTGAAAGTGATTGTAAAAAGGAAAATTTATATATTTTATTTTTTGTAACAAACATAGTACCTTACCTGCTCTGTGCAATGGTTTTGCACAGAGCAGCACTAATCCTCTTCTCTGGTCCCCTGCCAGTGTTCCTGCCCCCCCCCCCCCCCTCTGAGTGCACCCATATCAAGCCGCTTACTGCTGTTACCCTTGACCCAGTGAGCAGAGAGAAAAAGAGAGCTATGCCAGTCTCAGGCACAGCACTGGATCATCATCGGGCTCAAGGGAAGTATAAAGGAGGGAGCTGCACACAGAAGGTTGTTTTACTTTAATGCATAGAATGCATTAAGGTAAAAAAAAAAGTGTGCTGTTAAAACCACTTTAACACTACCCCCCCCCCCTTTCCAGATTTACAATGCTGCTGTCTACTGTGCCCTGCTATTCCCCCTGTGCTCATTCATCCAGAGTGGGGGCACTCTAATACAGGAGGTGTGTTGCTGGCCAGAGCACCAGGTGAAAACAGAGCGGGAAAAGCCAAATAGAAGAAAACTGATGCAGGCCACCACATTTGATGATTGATAAGCTGCAATATGTTACATATTTGGTTTTGGGTTTAATACTGCTTTAAAGAACTATTTACCTGTCATCTTTTCCATAAGAAATTCAAAAAACAAAGTGTTCTTTCCCCATTTTCCTTGAAAAGTTTTGACTTTTGGTCATTAGTGATTTCCAGCCATGTAGGGATCCAGAGAGTGTGAAAACAGCTTTAGACAAACATG